TAGAAAAAGGTCACTATTCACATTATTTAAAAGATATTTAATATTTCCACTGCAGTCTGACAAAGCATTTGTTAGCTATTGTCTCTCTTTGGTAAACACTCTGGGTGGAGTTTTAGCCTCCTGCACTTAGCAGCCACTTCTCAACAGATCCCAATTTGTTTTCATGCTCTCTGTAGAACTTCCATTGGACAGGTGCCCATGGGGTACTATCCTTTTCCCAGGTGCTCAATATAAATAAATTTGGCATATACCATTTCTGATGCTGAGTATGCATTGTTTTATTATTAAATTATAGTGTATTCATATTGCATTCATTTTCCTCTTGTAAGGAACCCAAGGCAGCTTACATAGCTCCATTTTATTCTCACACAACCCTGTGAGGTAGGTTGGAAAGTGAGTAACTGTCCCAAAATCATCTAGTGAGTTCCATAGCCAAGTTGGGGCTGGAACCTGGATCTCCCAGGTGCTCTGACCACCACATCCTTTCATCATTGGTGATTTGAGAAATTGACATTGTAACTTATGAAAGGACACCTATTGAATTTGCAGTTGTAGGATTAGAAGCACTGTCTGCATATAGCTCAGATTCTTAGAGTGCCTTCTGTAGATGTCTTCTCAGAAGTAAGCCTCAATGATTGCAATAGACTTGCACTGGAATAAAGACTGAATCCTTAGCCACTCTGCTGCACCAGTCTTGCTAGTTCATCTGTAACGCCAGGTGCATCAGGACTGAAGTTGCTTGGCATAATTCTGGAGCACTTTACAATGGTAGCATGAGAATGTCTTCCTTCCCACCTCCTGCTAGGTGTTGCTCATGGATCCTTTCTCCCTTGTTTCCTGCCGGGCTTTGTCCTGTATGGCACTGAGGGATTCTTTTTGTAAGATGAAGCTCCTTGTCAGTTCATATTCTAACACCACCATCACCAATGTCCTTAAAAACATTTGCTTATTAAAATTCCTTTCTGATGGCTTTAGGCTATGGCTGACATTACCTTGGTCTGTGTTCCCTAGTCTTTAAGTGCATCTTTCAATATTTTAACAGTTAAATAGGATTGTTTAACTGCTTGAGGGCATTGCCTCTCTGAAACACTGCTGCTCTTTTCATGTTTTTCAACCTGCTTTCCTCCTTTCCCTTCCCCAGCATCTGTATCAATTCAAGTGACGTTCATACTTTTAAACCGTGTTTGCATGATGAAACAACCCATGATTTCTTTATTATATTTTTAAATCTGTCAATAACCAGTGTTCTTTGGGTGGATTGCAAATGGTTAAAAAGACTAAAATGTCATACAAACAGTAGAAAAATACAGACCAATACATTTAAAGACACAGTGCCATGCAATATAACAATCATCACAGGAATTGATAAAACGGCCATACAACTCTAGAACTGGACCCCTCTAAGTTCCATCTTAGGAAGAGTAAGCCCAGTCCCTATATTATTCCCATAGCAAATCAAAGATGAACTTGCATCCAGAAGATCACAAAACCATCTCTGGCCTATCCCAGTGGAAAGGGTCAGAGAAAAGGTGATGTAGAACACCCCTGCCTGAGAATCTTGAGAGCCGCTCCCCTTTGGAGAAAGCAATACTGGGCTAGGGAGACAATATAATCTGAGCTGCTATGAGTCATCTTTCTGTGTTTTCTAAGGTTCTGATGTGTGAATGGCCCACTTGGCTTCAAATAATTTCCCGAGAGATTGTTTCTCGTCATATAATTCCATCACTGAAATGATAATCAGAAGAACCCCTTTGTTCGAATATTGCAAGCTCAAGCAGATCCAAGTTACTATTAACAGATTGTTATAGTTACTACATTGCATTTTTTCCTCCTGAAAGGAATCCAAGGTGGCTTACAAGTTCTCCTCTCCTTTTTGTCACCACAACAACCTTGTGAGGTAGTTTAGCCCAAGCAGCAGTGACTAGTGCCTAAAGAGACCTGGTGAGTCTGATGGCTGAGTAGGGTCTAGAATCTGGATCTCTTAAGCCTTAGTTCAGCACTCTAGCCATTATACTAGAGTATAATGGTATAATGGGGCGGCTTCCAACATTACACTTGTTAGAAGCCGCCCTGAGGCTTATGCAAATGGGGCGGCATATAAGAATTCCAAATAAATAAATACACACTCACACACACACACACACACACACACACCACTGTCTGTTCAGTGTGTATACATGACTGTATGTGATAACTGGTTCTTAACACTCGCATATCTTCATAGCTATTGTTAGGTATTCTGATATCCTAGAATATTCAGGTATTACACCTGCTCTGTCTTCTTTACCCTGAACTGGATCTGGAGGAGTTAAATTGATTTGTTTTTGGTCTTGCTGACTGATGATTTGTCCGTCTGAGCTCTCCAGCAACCACCTGAGCTCTCCAGCAACCACCAGCGCTTCATCTTCTGTTGTGGTCCTCCTTTCCCACTCATCGAGTAAATAAGCCATGTTAAATAGGTCTAAACATTTTGCTGAGACCATTGCATGATGCTCACTGGAGATTTTTCTGTACTGTTTTATGTCTGCTTTTCTGTGAATATTTACCATCCTTCTGATTTACTATAGAAGTACCAAGCCAGTGTAAGAAGGTTATGTGTAGGTGAGACCTCTCATTTTGGCAGATGACAAAATAATGCAAAACATCAGAAGAAGAAGAAAAGCAATCCAGCAAAATATCAGTTGTCTTTGCATGGCTTGTTATGCTAAGAGAAGGATATCTAGTAATCCAGTTTAAACCAGAAGTCTGTTTAAGCTTGTCACTGTGTTTTATTGGTATTTGCTGATCTGCATCACATAAATCAGAGCATTTCTGCAGCTCACAGCAAGAGTTTAATTTTATTTTCATTGCTTCTTTTCAGGATACATTTTATCCTCTTGATTCAATTTATACAGCTAACAAGTCCATCAAAACTATAGATGATAAAAGCAAGTTTTTACTGTGTAAAGTTCTCTGTAGTGCAGCAGGTAGAATCACAATATCGTATCTTGCATGCTAATTGCGGGTAATATTGTAGGGATCATTAAAAATCAGTGGAGACAATCCACTGGGAGCATCTCCGCTGTTCACCTTATTAAAAAAGAATGGGAAACACAATAGGAATGTTTACAAGAAAAGCTCCCAGTAGGTTGTAACCAGTATCTTAGCATCTCAAAGAACAAAGAAATTACTAGCACCCTTTAGCTCACATTCTGAAATTTAAAGCATTAGTTTCTCTCTTATAATGTAAGAACTCACATAATTTGAGTATGAGTTTGATTTTTTGTTTAAAGATGCTTCTTCTCTGAAATAGTTTCTAGACCTTCTTTTGGAAAAGCCTGTTAATGGAGTAGAGAATTCTCCATCCATTTGATGTGTTGCAGGTTGCTCTCCAGGTGTATGTGCACAACCCTTTCCTAGGAAAGTGCATGTCCAGAGACCTGTGTAGAGCTGTGAGCCTGATTTTTCCCTTATGCAAAATGTATGCACAGGTTCCCTGATCTTGTCAAGACCACAGTGGCATGCAAAGCATTAAACTTTTCCATTCTCCCATATTAGGTTCCTAGATGAGATCTGGTCACCTGTGATTTTGAGTACAAAAATTAGATAGGTGTGTAATGCCTGTTATAGGTAACTTATGGTCTGTCCTTTAGCTTGTGTAAGTAGAACACCCATCTGAGCAACATTCAGGATACAACTCTTTTAAAATATATTAAAACTAGTTTAGTTACACTGGACCATAATACAACTCTTCCTTTCTTCTCTGTAAGCAGAATTGGAATACCATATCTATTTTTCTACTATATCTTGTTTCATAATGCTAATTGTAATACTTTCAGCTCTTCCTGTGCCAATGTGCTCCTGTTTCAAGGGGAGCTTCACCTAACAGAGCACAGCCTGTAGCTCAGTGGAAAAGCACCAGCTTTGCATTTAGGGGCCCCAGGTTCAGTCTGTGGCACCTCCACTTAAATGTATTAGGCAAGCTGTGGATGAAAGAGAACTGTTCCTGAGATCCTAGAAAACCTGCTGACCGTAAGGCAGGCAACCCTGAGCTGGACAGATAAATAACATTACCAGGGGAAGCAGCTTCTTGTGTAAAAGAGGAGTGGGGCAGCATAACATAGCATTGTGCTACTGAAATGTCAGGGCCTGGCTTATGTAGCATAAAGGGGTCTTTCATATGTTCTGATGCAAGCCTTTAAGACAGGGGTCTCAAACTCAACTGACCTGGGGGCTGCTGGAAGTAGAGTCTGGGTGAGGCTGGGCCGCATCAAGTATTCCACCACCGCGGTGGTGGTGGGCTGCTCATCCCGCGTCGCTCCCGGAGGCCGGCCCGGGCGCCGCCAGCGCTTTGAAGGCCGCAGGGCCCCTCCGCCGTGCCCCGCCCATCCCGGCACACAGCTTAGAGGGAACATTGCGCCCAGGGTAACGACTCACGCAGGTGCGTGTGCGAAAAACGCGCGGGCCGCACTATCACTAAACTTTGATATCAAGTGGGGGCCACAAAATATCGTCCCACGGGCTGCAATTGGCCCGCGGGCCGTGAGTTTGATACCCCTGCTTTAAGATAATCTTTTAGGCGTGAAACTCAAGGCCAAACTAAATGTTCTGGCAACCGCACCTAGTTTAGCTAGGCTTCCTTCTGCTGGTATAAGCATGCGTGGCCCTAGGTACAGTGGGGACTGCAGTGCTTTGGAAGGGGAGGATTAAATCTTTTTTCTGGATCTGTTTTTTGCCCAAATTCCAACCCCCTTTGGGGGCAGGATTTGATTTTTTTCCCCTTTTTTTGCCCCTTCCCCACCTTTGCAGTGTGGTGGCACTTTGAAGAAAAATAGCAGGGAAGGGTTAACACCCCTTTCCTAATTACTACAGTCCCAACCTTAAGTGGAGTTGCACATGCTCCCAGCAGTTGTTCATAGCTAAACTATGCATGACGACCAGTACATTTCATTTGGCCCATGGTAGCGTCACTTCTTGCTCTTTCTTTTATAAAAGGCTCTGATTTCTCTCTTTCTTTTCAGACACAGAGACAAGTGAACAAATCCAGAAAAGTGGGATCCTCCAGGTGTTTGCAAGTCTGTTGACTCCGCAGTCTTCCTCAACTGCAAAAGTAGCTAACATCATAGCAGAAGTAGCCAAAAATGGTGAGGTTTTCCACAAGGCCTTTTCTGCTGGAACATCTTCAGTTTTGCAGCTCACTTGTCAGTATGTTTTTCTTCATTTATGTTTTCATTTTAGAGAATAGATGTTCTTCATTTCTTTTTCTCTCTCCACTCCTTTTGTTTTGTTCTGACTTGATAATAGATTAGTTCTTAGTCATCCATTTGCTAGATGCATCAAAGCAGTACAAAGTTGCAATCCTTTTTATAACTAATTTTTGTGGGAAATCTATTAAATATTATTATTGGGCAAAATACAAAGGACAGATGTTTACAGTTGTGTCTACGGGAATCACTGCAGATAAATTTATGCAATATTTGTGGGTTAAATTTTAATTTTATAACTTTTACAAATGCTTACATTTGTTGTTCATTTTTGGTGCATTCTTGTATACATCGATCTATCTGTATTCCAAAAATACTTTTGTTTGACCAAACTTGATTTTTGTTCTCTAAAGGTCCTCCCCACCCCCACCTGCATTTTATCCCCACAATGATTGTGCGAAGGAGGCCAGACTGAAAAACACTGACTGGCCCAAGGTCACCCAAGTGGCGACACCTAGATCTCCCAAGCCTCACCAACATGCTAATCGCCCTTCTGCACTGATTCTTCACCACAGTAGTTGCAGTTCTAAAATCCTAATTTTAGACTAATCGGAATACAGATAAACTGTCACAATAGATTGTATTGCTGCATGTGCAAATATATGCCTTCAATTCTTCCCAAAGGAATTCACAAAATTTTAGTTCTAGACCTTAAGTTTATGTTTACTTTTCAGGAATCATCTCTTTTTTTCCTATAGAGGCCCAAGTTGTATAAAAACAAAACATTCATGCATTTCAAAGCATAAGGGCATTCTTACAGTTAGCTTCTTATCCAGGGTGAGTGGCTGCTATCTCCCCGTGAATAGGTGAGTAGTGAAGCAGCAAAGCCCCTCCTGACGTACAGCCACTAGGATTCCAAGTGCCTGGGCCATGACAGGGTTGCCACTGTAGCTTCCCTGGGCTGATTCTCTGCATGCCCTTTCCTTACTAGAATGGCCAGTCACTAGAATTCTGTAAAACACATTGCGCATGAATAACTGTATATAAACTTTGTCTGTATCCGGGAAGATTACTGTGTAGATTGCAACAAAGGCCCAGACAGACATTACTGTAAATATATGTCTAGCAGCTGCATCTTTTTTCATGTTTTCTGCTAGAGGAGGTGTAGGCCCCCAGTCCAAACTGGGCCTCCATCTGTGGGGTTTCGGAATGCTTTTAAAATTGGCACTCCTACACCCCACTCCTACACTCCTTTAAAATTGGGGTTGGGCTCCCTGCAGCAATTCTTACAGTAAATATAGAATCAAACAAAGGAATATCACCTTTGCATTCCATGCATTATTTGGGCCTCAAATAATGCATGGAAAATAGTTCAAAAACTTTGAAAGTGCAATACAATTGTTCATTTTTAAGATGATAGTGATGGTGATGATGCTTATCTCCAAGTAGCAACCCTGCAAGGTGCATCGCTGTCCATTTTCATTTTATACACAAAGCACTGAATGGTTTACTTGTGGCCTGTCTTGATTAGGGAGGGAGCCCGAAGGGTACTTTGTCTAAGTCCATCAGATTAATGCAGTCTTACCTAAGCTGGAGCCTTCCAGATATGCTAGACTTCAACCTCCATAATTTCCAGAATAATAGGAGTTTCAGTCCAGCATAGCGCCCATGCTGGCTGGATATGATAGGAGTTGCAGTCCAACGCATCTGAAAGATGCATAACCTGTATCAACTTGTAGTTTGTTTGTTTATGCAGGATTTTAGCAGCTTTAAACCTTATTTTTTTCATTGGATTGTTTAGTTTTTCTTTAATGCATGAAGGACAGCACAAGAGTTGCTTCCCCCAAAATATTCTCAGTGTTTAATTTATCAAAAAATGTTATTTAAAATGCCTTCACTACTTCCCAGATGAATTCACAAAATTTTGAATATGCTCATAATTCCTAGCCCTTTTTCTTTATATCTTCATTGGAACCAGAGAGTTTTTGTTCCATACATAAATTACTTCTCATGCAGAGATGCAGCTGCAATGCTTCTGGTATATGTGTATTTGGAACAGAAAGCCTCTCTGCTGGAGGACAAATGGCTCTGTTAACAAGAAACAATCAATTCACAGCAACTAGCCTTTAATTAAACCCCTTTCTTTTGCTTGTAGAATTTATGCGGAATCCATGTGTGGATGCTGGCTTGATCCCACCGCTGGTACAACTCTTAAACTGCAAAGATCAGGAAGTGCTTCTTCAAACAGGACGTGCCTTGGGCAACATATGCTATGACAGCCGTAAGTGCTCAAAAATCAGTGTTTTATTTTTATTTTTAAACCTGATTCTTGTTGTTCATTTTTCTTTCTTGTTTCGTTGTCAGCAGTGCTGATTTCTGTGAGACATCTGTGGATGCTGTCACAATTAAGCCTAACTTGTATGACAGGCTGTCAAAAGTCTCTCTCTCTCTCTTTATTTTGATGGAAGCAGACAGATCCTTGGCAATACTATGGGGTTTCGTGGACAAAGAGAAACAAATGCTATTAAAAAAATTGGAGGCTTGTCTAATGTTGTTGCTGTAGATAATATTAATAGGGTTAACAGGAGCTATGGTGTTTCTCACCAAACCAAGTAATGAAGCTGAATGGGGTTTGCTGGGGCCCCACTCCATGAACTGTGAGGATGGAATTTGTCCTGGTAGAGAGGGGAAGCTGGGCATTCTGAGTGCATTGCAGTGGGCAGACAGGGAGCAACCCAGGATATGAGGGATCCTAAGTCATCCCAGTTCTAGCCATCTCCCTCATCCAGGAGAAGATTAAGGCATGATTAGAGTGTATGTAAGTATTTCTCACCCATTGCCACCTGTTTTTTCTTTCACCTATGGATGCTTCACCTCCCACTTAACTTCCTCCAGCCAGCACAAGCCAACCATCATAGCTATGGGTGAAGCTTCTAATATCAGAATAGGGTTTCCCTCTGAAGAATCAGTCAGAGCCTCTCTTTGTCTGTGGCCTTAGAGGGGATATTCTGAAATGTCCTGTGGCCCTTGAGATGTTGCCTAGGTGACCATAGGATTACTCTTTTAGTATTAAAGATGAATCGGTTTAGTGGCACTGTTATACCCTGCATCAGCTTGTTCTAATATTGGTTTCGGTGTCTGCTTTGTATACAGTCCAGCTTTGTTCCAGAGAAGTTAGATTAGCAAGAAAGCATGAAAGAGCTTGATCCGGTATGGTTTATACTTAACTGCCTTTAATATCATGTTGGTGCTGCATACATTAACAGTGCAGACAGGAAACCACCCAGATTTTTTGTGAAAAAAATAGTTGTAGAAGGCATGCAGTAGTTCACATGTTCAGTCCTCAGCATTTCCAGGCAGGGCAGAAGGAACACCATCCTGATATCCTGCATATTCACAGCCAGTTTGTGTCAAGAAAACTTGGCTAGATGGACCCGTGGTCTGACGCTGTATGGCAAGTTCTGTGTTCTTAGATGGTTGCTGCTCAAGTGACACTGTAGTTTTGAGATTGTTGTAGATAAATGATTTTCACAACTATTATGGGCGCCACATTTTGTCTGCGAATCCCACCATTTACAAGTCTAAATATTTTGGTTAATAGCAAGATAAAAATTCTACTGTTTAAGAGTTACAGCTTCTCTGTGTAAAGGTAAGGATGTATTTTTATTCTATACATATTTCATTCTATATCCTACATTTGCAAATAGGAAACTGGTATTTTAACTATGAATGTGGAACTTTACAGTGTTATATATTACTGTGTTTAACCACCCCATTTCCACCTTAATGTTTAGAACTGTTTTGTTAAAGATGCAGTCCTGTGTGTCCTTTAAAAAACAAAAACCTCCAATTTCCAGCGTGCTCCAGCCAGCCATGCTGCAAGTGTACGACTGATTGATTGAGTGATTGGTCTACCCATAAATTTGCTTGTGAATTACATACATAGTAATAATAAACATCTCATCCAGAAATAACTGGTGTTCATTATTTTGGTTTTACTGAATAATTATTATGTAAAAATCTTTGTATACTTGATTTACATCTCATAATACAAAGAATACTGATTCAGTTGAATGGAATAAAATCAGTTTACTTATTAATAAAATGTCAGCCATCATCTCACTGATTTCTGAAGGGGTGGTTTTTTTTTTTTGTTTGTTTTTTGCATCTTCCCTACTGTTTTACTTTATTTTTTAACTTTTTTGTCTTAATTTTTCATCTTACATAAATTCTGCTTGTGGGATAATTGAACTCTTCATGCATTTCCAAATCCAAATTTGGTATTTTAGGAAAAGTACGTATCTATGTTGACCTAAACTGTGGATGAGAAAGGTACTACCAGTGTGACAGGTTTATCTTATAAGAACCATTCAGAACTGATACGGTACCTCTCAGGTTTCTCATTGCCCATTCCCATTCACACTTACAGAAAGTTACTGTAAAGAAAGACAGAAAAAGAATTGAACAGGAACAAATACATCTAAAGGGGGATATGCATGCAAAGATGTGGGAAACTGAAGAAGTCCAACAGAATGCTTAAAGGAATAAGATGTTTTTATGAAGAATCTGAAACTAGCCTCTACATACATTCTACTTGCTTGCACTCGCTATGTAAGGGAGCAGTCATGGTCAGCCTTCAGGATCTTGTTTAAGTCATGTCAAAAGAGCAGTTCTCAGGCTAGATGTTCAGCTCTGACTCAGTTCTAGGTCCATTACTATGGAAACAAAGATGGGAGATGCAGCATAATGTGCACAGCTTCAGAAATGTTAGGGCAAAGAGCAGCATATGCCTTTGAGTGTAATAACATAGCTAGTCACAATGCAAAATATTTAGAAGGGGCTGGTTCCAGAGTTGGTCATACCTCATTTAGGTCCAAATGGATGAAAGTTGGTCATGTCTTACTTGTCAATTGATTTCAGTGGATCTGCTCTAAGCATGACCAAGTCTGAATTCAACCTAAGAATTTTATTGTTGAAAACCGTAGAGCTCAGATGTGTATATTTAACATGCTCTTGTTCAAGGTCCATCAGTGTTGTTTAAAGGTTAATCCCAGGTCACTTACACAAATAGACTGTATTGTGCTTAAAGTTGTTTTAAAAATGAAGATGATTCTTATCTGCTTGAGGAATTTTTCTGTTAGAAATGTTGAATTGTTGTCAAACCTAATGTCATATCAACCTCAAAACACAGATAATTGATACTGCATTCAAATGCATCTGGGACATAGCAAATAGGTGTTCCCTGATGTCACCTTCCTTGGTTTAACTGGTGTGTGTGTGCACGCACATGCTCTGATATGTTGTGTATGCAGGAAAAAGTCAGGGCTTCTTTTTCCCATTCCTAATTAAAGAAATTTATTGGCATAAGCGGCCATCATGGTCACCTGCTTGGATGGACTTAAAGGGAATTAGAAAGATGCATGGAAGATGTCTCTGTAGTTGGCCATGCTGAACCTTTCGATTCAGAGGTAGTAAGCTGAGGGAGGGGCTGTGGCACAGTGACAGAGCACGTTGTGAGCATGCAGAAGGTCCTGTGCTCATTCCTGGCATTTCCTGGTAGGGCTGGGAAAGAATTCTGCCTGAAACCCCGGGAAGCGATGCTGCTGAAAATACTGAGGTAGATGGTCTAGGTGTCTGACTCCATACAGGGCAGCATCTCGTGTTCCTGTACCAACTGGCATATAGAACCTCCCTCATACAGAATCAGTCCTCACCTTCATAAACTGATTGCTCATCCTAGCAACTGGTCAGCCACAGTGGGAAAAATGTGCTGAACCACATAGACTGGATCCTTGGAGCCTGTCTCACAGCCTGACTTTCCACGCTAGTTATTCTGCAGATACAAATGCTATAAATAGTAAATGGTATGTCTTGCTAGGGGGATCCGAGCAATGATAATCCAATGCCATTTTGGAACTGTTCTGCCATTTCTTCCTTCAAGGAGTAGCCATGCTGATTTCACCAGGAGGCCGTCCAGTTCAGTGTTCTGTTTACTCAGTGGCCAGACACATGCCCATGGGACTTGGGAAACAGGACTTGGGGGCAACAACGTCCTCCCATCCAAGTTCCCCAGCAGCAGATTTGGGGGTGGAGTGATAAAAAGACAGACTAAAAGGTTGAAAAACAAGGGTAAACTGCAAATGTATTAATTGCTTTCCAACAATTGTGAGGCTGCTTTTAAAAAAAGGAGGATGTTGTCATCTGGATCCCTTGTAAAGTTTTGTGTGTGTGTGTGGGTTGGGGGGGGTGGTTGCATCATAAGAGCCTTCTGTGGAAACATTCAAAATGTCTCCACTCCAGGAAAGTATCAGCACCCCTGCCCCATTGCCTGGAAAAGCATTTTACTTTAGAACAACCTGGACTTTTCCTCCTGACTTCAGCCCTGCCCTTCCTCACTACTTCTACTGTCCTGTCTTGACCCCTCCCCTCTTTTAAACTGTGTAAAAGGCAGGTCTAGAAAGGGGCTTGAAAGGCCACTAAGATAAGGGACAAAGACTTTTTTCTTTTTCACAAAATATCTCTGTTCATCTTTAGTGGAAAGCACAGTAACACCTGGAGAGTGATTGTTCTGAAGCAGTATGCATTTCATAGACAATAGTGGATTTCATCAGTGACACTAAGGTACCAGAGCCATTTTTATTTTCTTGTTCTTTGTGTGTGGTTCTTTCCTTTGCAAGCCACCCTTAAAAATGGGGGTGGGGTATTACGTAAGTTTCTGGAAAATAAAGAGAAGCTTCATGGATTAGTGACAAAGCATATGTTTCGTAGGTTTCAAGCCCTGGAACCTCTGGTTTAAACAGTCCAGGTAAACAAAGGATGGATTACAAAGGAAGGATTCCTCCAAAAAATTGGAATTCAGGCAGAATAGACATGATGAGGCTACAGAAAGGTCTGACTCAATATCATGCAGTTTCCCATATCCTTGTTAAAAGTTTTGGATATGTTAAGGTATATACCATGTGATTTCCATGCTTCTTAATTGTAAAACTGGTTGTAAGCTACACAATGTCAAAGACTGGGTCTCCAACTTTGTATCCATAGGTGTCAATGTGCCACAAACCAGTCTTGATGCTTACCAGGCTCTCTGCTCTTCCTGGTTTTTATTTTATTTCTTAAGATTTGTTACTATTTAAAAAACCCCAAACAACAGCCCAGTAAGCTGCAGTGAAGTGCTGCCCTCCAGTGCCATCTTTATGTAGTTTTGTGTTTGGGAACTCAAGCTCCTGGTTATTAGGATCTTGCTGAAGTCGTCTACTGGGGAGTACTTTGTGACAAATCATA